CGGGCGGGCGACGGAGCATGCGCACAAGCCGCCACGGCTACCGCCGCCACCGCCGCCGCCAAGCCGGGCTCCTACACTTCCGGCCGCCGCTGCCGCTGAGCTGGCGCCTTAAAGGGGACGCGTCCCTATTGTGGGCCGCTGGGAGGATGCACACTTCGCTCAGCCAAGCGCTTTGGGCGGGTCGGGAGCTTAGGCCTGCGGCTGTTGAAAGGGCCGTGTTGGAGGGATCGCGGGAGACCCCTGGGACTGAATAAGGCCTAGATGCAAAGGTCAACTCGTCTTGACTCTTGTGGAGGGCTAGGGTTTTTCTCTCCCCAAATCTGTGTATTGACAATTACAGTTTATCGGGGTTTCGGGTTACCAATGTGGAATCAAAATAGGTAGCCGAGCATAGATCAGTAACCCCGTCCTGCGTTTGAACCATGGCTCTTGGCCCAGGCTTTCCTGCTTGTGCGGGTTCTGGGTTCAAGTTTGTGCTTATTTGGAACATGTACAACTGTAGAATGTCTTGACAACTCTAAGCCTTTTATTTCTCAAAAGGTACATGTCCCACGTGTTCAGTGAAATCATACTTGAAAAGTACTTAGGAAAGTTCTTGAGGCCAGTAGTATTAACTGACAAGCGTTAAGACAATGTGGTCAGCCCAATGTGGGGAAGATGCTTTGGGTTTATAATCCTCACAGCAACCCTACTCTTTACCATTCATTCTCATCTTAAATATTAAACATAAGCATTTGGGTATGGTGGTGCACGCCTTTGATCCCAGAACTCAGAGGCCGAAGTAAGAAGAGTTCCTGGCCAGTCTAGTCTACATAGTGAGTTCTAAGCCAGCCAACGCTACCTAGAGGGACCCTGGCTCAAAAAAGCAAGCAAAAAGAACAGATAAGGGATGTGAGGAGGGAAACAGATCCGTGGTAGAATACATGCCGAACCTGGGTTCCTTCTACAGTTTAGGGGGAGAGGGAAGCAGTGTCAGGCAGTTTTTTTTTTGAAGAGCGAGAATTGAATTGTTTCTCCGTCTTGCTTCTTATACATTGTATCCCTCTTCTTTCCTTTAAGAAAAAATGTGGCGGGTGGAGATGGCTCATCCTTTGCAGGCTGGTGGAGACCTGAGTTCCATCACTCCAACCCACAATGATGGAAGGAGATGCAGCAGACACACTCTAAATAAATATAATTTTTAAAAAGATATATAAATATGTATGATGGCTATTCTTGATTGTCAACTTGACTGTATCTGGAATGGGTTATAATCCAGAAATGGAGGGCACATTTGTGATCCGGATGTTGAGACAGGAAGACTCATTTTTTTGTTTTGTTTTGCTTTTTTGTTTTTTGAGACAAGGTTTCTCTGTGTAGCCCTGGCTGCCTTGGAGCTTGCTCTGTAGACCATGCTGGCCTCGAACTCACAGAGATCTTCCTGCCTCTGCCTCCTGAGTGCCAAGTGCTGAGGTCAAAGGCATGCGTGGTGGCACAGGCCTTTAATCCCAGCACTCGGGAGACAGACTCAGATGTATCCTGAGACATCCAGGACAGGCACCAAAGCTACAGAGAAACCGTCTTGAAAAACAAAACAACAAAACAAACAAACAAACAAACAAACAAAGGCATGTGACACCACTCAGCTAAACAGACCCTTTTGATCAGGATCTTGAGGCAGAACGACACAGGCTTTTAATCCAGATCCCGAGGTGGGAAGGTACATTTTTAACCTGGGCCATACCTACTGGACAACGGAAGAAGGAAGGCTTCATTCATTCTCCTGCTTGCCCTCGCCTTATCCGCACATCCATTCCTTCACTGGCATTGGAGCCTGCTTCTTCGGGATCCCAGCACATACAGAAGACCAGCCGAGACACCCAGCCTCGTGGGATGGAGAAACTACTAGATTCTTGGACTTCCCATTCACAGCTAGCCATTGTTGGACTGCAGCCTGGAAGTCATTCCAATATTCCAATAAATTTTCTCTCTCTCTCCCTCTCTCTCTGACACACACACACACACACACACACACACACACACACAGAGATTTATTCCATAAGTTCTGTGACTCTAGAGAACCTGACTAATACAGTGTGTGAGAGGGTTTTAACAGGGTTTTTATTTGAGAGCAAGCAGGAAAGGCTAGGAATCACTGGGGGCTGGAGAGATGGCTCAGCAATTCAGGGTATATATTGTACGTGCAGAGGACTCATGTGGGCTGGCTCATGATCCCCTGTAACTCTATCTCTAGGGGACCCAACCCCTGTTGTGGTCTCTAATGACACTGCATTCACATGCACAATAGATACTTACAGTGAAAAATAAGAAATAAAAATTTGAGCTCCCCTTCCCCCAAGGACGGGAATTAAACAGTAGAACTGGGTTGGGGGGAGGAGGGGGGAGACTACCGGAATTCCAGGCTTGGTGTTAGCTGCTCTGGATCACGGTCAAGTCACACCTCCCTTAACCCAGCTGTCTTCACCTATAAACGGTTGTCCCACAGTGCTCAAGTCTGTCACGGGGCCCAATAAAAAGATTCGGTACTATGTTAAGTCTGTGTTTGGGAGATCAGCACTTTGTAGTAGAAGGTGACTTTGAATACCTGTTCCTCCTTTCCTCTGCCTCCCAAGTGTTTCAAATACAACCCAACACCACCAAGCCCAGTTTCTGCGGTAATGGGATAGAACCCAGGGCTTTGTAAATGCTAGTCAAGCATTTTACCAACTGAGCTCCATCACCAGCCCCAAGTCTTTTACTTGTTTATTTTTAAGATTTATTTAGTGTGTAGGGTATTTGAGCTGTCCTACAGATGAGACCACCAAAGTCAAAATGGTGGGGTCACCCAGAAAAGAACGAACATCCAAAAATAGGGTGGGAACCAGGAGCCCAAACTTAGAGAGCACTGAGCCTGAAGGCACCCTCAGCCAGCCAGAGTGGTAGGAAAGGTTGGGTCCCTGGGCAGAGGGAGAAAGGAATGCCACGGAGCAGACCGGAATTTCCTAGGAGGAGAAGATGCCAACAATATCAGAACTGCAGAGAATTCTGGAAGGGAAAAGGAAGAGCCATTGGTTCGGCATGTGAGAGCTGATCCTGCCGGGGTAGCGTCCTTTCTGAGGCCGGGAAGGAGGCTAGATGGTGTAAGTGGATTGTGGACAGAAAACACTGAGTAGAGACAGCCTGAACTGGACTTATATGTATTTTGCTGGAAGGAAGGGAACAATAAAACAAGGTAATAAGATGACTGTTGAGGCTTTAAGAGGAAAACGGTGTGAAAGCCCCTCCCCCACCAACACATACTCATTCTTCCTGTAACTAAATGTTCACTGTGAAAAACTGCAGAGCACATAAAGGATGGAAAAACACAGAATGTATTTCTATTTATAACTGATGTGTTTCCTTCCAACATTTTTCTATTAATTTTCCTCGTTTACCTTCACGATTTATTATAAATATATAATTCTGAAGTATACTTCTTTTTAGTCCACTAAATGCTGTTTCTTAAGCATTGAAGAGGTGTCAGTATAGTTTAGTTTTGAATTGGTTTTTGCAGTGCTGGGATCAAATCCTTTGCCTGGTGCATGCTAAGAAAGTGCCTCACCATTGGTCTATACTCCTAGCCTTCTTGTCTCTTTACAATATGAAAGATGCTTGGACCCAGCCTAGTAGCCCAGACTGCAATCTCTGCTACTGGGGGGGTTGAGGCAATAAAGATCACAAATTCAAGGTTGGCCTGAGTTGCACAGTGAGTTCAAGGCTAGTCTGGGTAACTTAGAAAACCCAGTTTGAAAATAAAAAGTAGAAGCCAGGTGGTGGTGGCACAGGCCTTTAATCCCAGCACTCAGGAAGCAGAGGCAGTGGATCTCTGAGTTTGAGGCCAGCCTGGTCTACATAGCGAGTTCCAGGACAGCCAAGACTACATTGAAGAACCCTGTCTCAAATGCCCCCGCCCCCAAAAAAGATAATAATAAGAAAGAAAAAAGCAGAAAGGGGCCCCTGTAGGACCCCCCACCAAACGCACAACACAAAGGAATAAAGATACCAATGCCCAATCTTGTTCTGTTGTATCTGCCAGCATTTTGGGATTCTGATAGCTGATTTTTGTTTAGGAGATGATTCTGTTTATTGAGTAAAAAAGGCAATTGAACAATGAAACAGCCAAATTTTCTAAAGGAGTAACCATCAAGGTTGAGAGACGACGTTTCCCCATGAGATAGTAAAGACCTCCCAGGCCCCACTGAGGAGATTACGGGGGTAAACTGGACATAGGCCCTCCATGGCTGCAAGCCAGTTTGTCAGCAGTGAGGACATGAGGGGTTCTGCTCAGGCTTGCTTCCAGCTTGCTAGGTTCCAGGTCCTGCCCTAAACACTGGATCT